ACGTTACTTCATGACATTTATAGATGATTGCACTAGATTTTACTCTATGTATTTGCTGAAAACAAAATATGAAGCATTGCATTATTTTAAGGTCTATAAAGCTGGGGTAGAAAATCAACTTGGGAAGAAAATCAAGCGTTTGCGGTCCAATCGCGGGGGAGAATATTTCTCAAATGAATTTTCTGAGTTTTGCGCGGTGCATGGAATTATTCATGAGAGGACGCCACCATACTCACCACAGTCCAATGGGATTGCAGAGAGAAAGAACCACACTCTAACTGATTTGGTTAATGCCATGTTGGAGACTGTGGGACTATCTAAGGAATGGTGGGGTGAGGCTATATTGACAGCATGTCATGTCCTGAATAGAGTGCCCACAAAGAACAAAGAAATTACACCATTCGAGGAATGGGAGAAGAAGAGATTAAATCTCTCTTACCTACGAACTTGGGGTTGTTTGGTAAAGGTGAATGTGCCAATAAACAAAAAGTGAAAGCTTGGACCAAAGACTGTTGATGGTGTCTTTCTTGGTTATGCTATTCACATCGTGGGTTATAGATTTTTAATTATAAACTCTAGTGTTCCTGAGATGGCCGTTGATTCAATCATGGAATCTAAAGACGCTATATTTTTTGAGAATGAGTTTCCCATGAAAAATGCACCTAGCACAACTGGTCATGAATTTATAATTCCCCATAAGCATGAAAACTTTATTCCAATAGAACAAGTTGAGGAACCCTATGTGCAAAATCCTAAGGAGGATGACACTATAGTCACCAGAAAAAGTAAGAGACAGAGGACTGCAAAGTCTTTTGGTGATGACTATATTGTGTACCTTGTGGATGACACACCAACGACCATTGAAGAGGCATATTCCTCTCCTGATGCTGACTTATGGAAGAAAGCAGTACGGAGTGAGATGGATTCTGTTATGTCTAATGGAACTTGGGAAATTGTTGATCGTCCCTATGGGTGTAAGCCTATAGGTTGCAAATGGGTGTTCAAGAAAAAGCTTAGGCCTGATGGTACTATTGAGAGGTACAAGGCAAGGCTTGTGGCCAAGGGTTATACCCAAAAGGAAGGTGAGGATTTCTTTGATACTTATTCACCGGTTGCTCGATTGACCATAATTCGAGTTTTGCTTTCCCTGGCAGCCTCTTATGGTCTTATCGTTCATCAAATGGACGTTAAGACAACTTTCCTAAACGGAGAGTTGGAGGAGGAGATCTATATAGATCAGCCTGATGAGTTTATAGCAAATGGTCAAGAAGGCAAGGTGTGTAAATTATTAAAGTCATTATATGGCCTAAAACAAGCTCCTAAGTTATGGCATGAGAAGTTCGACAGAACTTTAACATTTGCTGGCTTTGTTGTGAATGAAGTTGACAAATGTGTGTACTATCGGTATGGTGGGGATGAAGGAGTCATTTTGTGCTTATATGTTGATGACATACTGATCTTTGGATCTAGCCTCAAAGTGATCGAAGAGGTGAAGGGATTTTTAACTAATAATTTTGAGATAAAAGATTTGGGAGAGGCTGATGTTATTCTTAATATCAAGCTTCAAAGAGAAGGTGATGATGGGGTAACCCTATTACAAACCCACTATGTGGAAAAAGTGCTGAGTCGCTTTGGGTTTAGTGACTGTGCGCCTGCTCCTACACCTTATGACCCTAGTGTGCTTTTGAGGAAAAAAATCAGAGAATAGCAAGGGATCAGTTGAGATATTCCTAGATTATTGGTTCGCTCATGTATCTTGCTAGTGCAACAAGGCCTGACATCTCATTTGCTGTGTGCAAGCTGAGCCGGTTTGTGTCAAACCCGGGAGATGATCACTGGCGTGCTCTTGAGAGAGTGATGCGCTACCTAAAAGGGACCATGAGCTATGGTATTTGTTATACCGGACATCCAAAAGTGCTAGAAGGCTACTGTGATGACAACTGGATTTCTGATGCTAATGAGCTTTATGCCACAAGTGGATATGTGTTTTCGCTTGGAGGTGGCGCTGTTTCCTAGAAGTCTTGCAAGCAGACTATCTTAACGAAGTCTATAATGGAAGCAGAACTCACAGCATTAGACACTGCTGGATCTGAGGCTGAGTGGCTTCATGATCTCCTTATGGATTTACCGGTTGTTGAAAAACCCATACCGGCTATTTCTATGAACTGCGATAACCAGACTATGATTACAAAGGTTAACAGTTCTAAGGATAACATGAAGTCTACAAGGCATGTTAAGAGACGACTAAAATCTGTCAGAAAATTAAGAAACTTTGGAGTAATAGCGTTGGACTATGTCCACACATCTAACAATCTGGCAGATCAATTCACTAAGGGTCTGTCACGCAATGTGATAGAAAGTACATCGAGAGAGATAGGTTTGAGATCCACTTGAAATTTACTATGGTGGTAACCTGTTCTATGTGATCGGAGATCCCGTGAAGTAGGACGGTAAAACAAGCTAGTAGTAAATTGTGAGGAAAGATCCTTAGTAAGACTCATTTCTGATGCATATCTTTCCTTTCTGTAAGGTATGCTAGCTTTTGTCTTAATGTGTTCCAAGTGGCTTGTCAAAGCAAAGATGTTGTCCTACAGAATATCTTTTGAGGAACACACCTATATGAGTCAGACTGCTGGTCAAGTCTATGAGATTTGGGTGATCTCTAAATACTCATGAAAGGCACTGAAGTATGACTTATATGCTTCAAATAGAGGGGAGGTCTTTTGCTACCTAGTATCAGCTAAGGACTTTAGTGACATTCACCTCACACAAAACTGTAAATTCAAGGCTTAGTCCATTGTTCAGTTGTGACTGAGTGAAACTATTGTTCTAGATGGATGTTCAACTTAACAATCTCTATCGAAACACTGGTATATAAAATAAATGTGGTTCTAAGACTAGTTTGTTACAAACCTTAGAGTTTGGTGGGGATTGTTGGATAAAATATGGGCTTGGCCCATATAATATTTAATAAATCAAATAAACTCTATGGTACGTAACATTAAGTGTTATATGGCTTAATACCATACGAGATTTTGACTGAACGCTGACTCAGCTTATATGGTTGAAAATTATTCATCTAAATTGAGAATCTGAGAAAAGGATAAAAGCGTGCCACACGCGCGCGCGCCGCCGCCGCCGCCGGCCGGGCCGGGCCGTGGGCATGGGCGTGGGCGTGGCGGGCGGCAAGCGGGCGGGCGTGGCCAGTCTTTTGCCACTTAATCCATATAATCACAGGAGTTACTCCCTTTGGTGGAGGCAAATTGACTGCGTCAGTTACCGTCTCTTTCGCTTCCCGTCTCCTAGGATTCTCCGCTGCCTCTCTCCCTTCCCCGCAGCAGCCATACATATCCTGTATTCCGTCAGTCCAGAGGAAGTATCCCGCAACAGTTCCCGAGAGAATCCACATCTCCGTAGCTTTCTATCTTTCCCGTCCCGTTCCTCTGCGCGCACGGAGTAGCGGGAGAGCAGGTGCCTCCGGAACCCTTGGCCACCTGAGAATCATGCACAGGATGAGCGGCGATTAGGTTTTTGGGGAGCGATCCGCGACTGCTCGTCCATCTTCTTCCTGCTAGAGATCGCTCTTCGATCCGTCTTCTCCCTGGAACGTCAAGGCGTCTTCTTCCTGGTGATCCGTGATCCGTTCGTGGGACTGCACTGCGAACATCTTCCTGCCTCGACTGTGGTCCGCGACTTCGAGCAACGCACTATGTCGACTAGTGCGAATGGAGCCTCCGATGCCCTCGGCATGGGACCCTCCGCTGGGTACAGTCTAATCTCTGTGATTACGATATTTTGTATTTTTACTGTATCGATCTGTATGTCGTCTATGCGTGATGTAGCGTTCATAAGAAATATACACTTGCACATATATGTCGTCACAAACCTGCTGATGTTATATTTCTGAATTAAACTGATAATAAAAATGCCTAAATATCTAACAGGTTATCTTTCGTTATCATTACATCCCGTTGTTGAAATCAAAGGAAAATCCTAATTTTTAAAGGGGCCTTTGATTTTCACAATTTTATGTTAATACTGGGGACATCTACATGGATCATCAACACCATATAATGTGAGTTCACCTAAAACTGTTCATATGGATGTAGGTTCCAGCAAAACATATCTTGTTCTTGTGTCAACTTAATGTTTGCAATATGTGGTAATAAATTCTTCCATGCTGTTAACTTTGATCCTATTAACTTCCTACGTCAGAAAAAATGGGTGTGTGAGGCACATAAGACATCTTCTATGGTGGCATGTTTGAATCTAACTATATTATACGAACAAGGATACTACTCCCACATTGTCACATCAGCCAACCTTTCTATCCTCCCATAATCTGATTTCTGAGTCACCCTTAATTATGAAGGATCCAAAACAAATAGAATCTTGTTTAACCTTCATGATGAGACTGGCCCATAAATGTGTGTCACCATTTTTCCAATAAATCTGTGAAAGTGATTTACAGCGTAGGTATTTGTTGCGTAGCATTTGCACAGACCTCAAATTTAGTCATAAACTTCTAACACTTGTTTCTTGAAATTATTTCCGATGCATGAGTACGAGTACATGGACTAATAAACATAAATATTATTTTGGATTGGAACATTATGTTAATTGGCACTCTGAATGACTATGGAACAAAATACATCGTTCATTCTTCCAAATAATTCGCAAATAAGACAACTCTGCCCTAGAATATAGACATGTACATGGTAACTCAGAAACAAACTTCTAGGTTTAGACATAATTAACAGAACCATGACACTTCAGATCGTCATGAGCAGGAACAAGCTTTGAATATGAGCGTACCATCCTGTTGCACGATAAAAACTTGGGTAAAATGTAATAATCTGTACTAATTACACTGACCGATGCGAGTTTTTTTACCATGCTGAAGAAAAACAATAAGTCCCATTCAAAACATGACAGTTGAGACACGTCGAACATCTCTTAACCATGGCAGAAAACTTGGTTTTGTGTTGAACCAATCATATTTACTCGTAGAAGTGGTACGTCTTGGCATTCAAGATGATCTGACGAAGCGCACCAATCGGTGACAGTACCATCAGCAACACTCCTAGAACAATGCAGATCTGAAAAACATGGACAACAAAGAGAATGATTAAGCAAATATGTACATTCTACTGAAGGGAGAAAAATAGTCTTGGATTGTCTGCTTGTTCTTACCCAGTTGGTAAACCATGAGATGCTGAAAGTTTTAGGCTTGTATATTCTGAGCCACATAATGCAAGGAAGCTGCCAGAATAAAGCATGATTCAGTAAGCTCTTAGGTTACAATTTGACACTTGAGTATATAATATCCTAACGATTCATCATATGATTGATTAAATTACCAGTCGAATAGGAAGAATATAGAAAGAACATAAATCTCGACGATTAAAACACAGCAGTAAATTTTTGTAGCAGCCAAAAAATAGGTAAATGGACCAATGGGAGCTTACGAAATACGTCGTCGGTGCGAATGCAAATCCACCAAAGAAGCTGAGCAATGCACCGAAGAAAGGGATGGTGATGGCTACAAACATTGTGAACCCTGCACTTAGAGCTTATATCTCATCAGTCTTGTGCGCATTGCATTGCCACTTTGATCCATGAGCAGTTCTTCAGAACTTAAACTGCTGAGTTCAGTTAATAGATATATAGAGCATTACCGACATAGACACTACGGGCGATGAGGCGGAGCATCAGGCTTGGGCGGAACCGAAACTTCATCACCAGCACCGTCTCTATCATGTCAAACACCGGCATCGCATATAGCTGTGTCACCAACAACACGAAACACTTGTGGGAAAACATACATGTATATAGTCTGGTGAGAAGGCCTTTGACAACCCTCTTGAATGTGGCTCTTCCACTGTCCGTTCTATCTAGTGTGGTGGCTATACCTGGTTTCAATTCGTGTCGAAAATCAAAGTTTTATTTTCTCTTAATTTATTATTTGAGTATACTATTTGATTTTTTAATTTATTATTTTGAATTTACTATTTATTAATTGTATTAGACATGGAATGTTTGGTTTAATCTAAACTGTTAGGTCATAATAAGATGATAGATTGATCGCTTGATAGGCCATGTACACGTACCGTCACGCTAAGTATAGGATTCTTTAGGAGAAAAAATTTATGTGAGGACTATCCTCATTGCGTAGCCATGGGTGCCTATCGTGGATTCATGCCACGTATCTTTGCATAATCATCCGATTATGCATAGACACATGGCATGAATCTACGGTAGGTACCTATGGTTGTCTCATGGGGATAGTCCCAACCCAATTTTGTAACGTCGGGCAGTTGTGAAATACTACCTTTGTTTTATTTTATTTGGCGTACACGCATATCAAAATTCAAACTTTAAAAACTTTGACTAATAATTAGGCTAATAATTTTTAACTATTATAATACAAACTTTATATGATTAGATTTGTAAGGAATTTTATACTTTCTAATCTAATGATTATAAGTTTATAAGCATAAGTAATATAATATAAAAACAAATAAATGGTCAAAGTGTAATCTAGAAGACCATGTCATTTAACTTGCGCCAGATAAAATGGAACGGAGAGAGTACCTGTTTTTTTTTTGCGATCGAGCCATTCACCCGTTTTTCATTAAGAGAATAAAAGTTTCCGAAACACAAGGACACGATCACAATGGCGAGGGACCAATGTGAACGTTCCTGAAACACCTAGCTACTGGGGAGGGAGTACCTGTGATTATAGTTCGTTGTGGTTACGCTTCCATTTCACTTACTTATCTTAGTGGGCCTAATGGGTACCAGCTGCCTTTATGGGCCAGGCTGTATTACATAAATATGAAATCCCACATCAAATAGGAGTCCAACAGCGGACATTATATTGGCCCAGAGTGCATGCAAACAATTGGGCCGACAATTTAACTATTATTATAAGCATCTGCTCACGACATTGGACCAAATTTTCTACCGTGTTATCGTGTGTTCTAAATTTAAGAAATTTAAGTGTGGTTCGAAGTTGTTGGAACACTCGTTTTTTTTATGATTTCCGTGTGTTGCCATCCGGTTCGACGACCGGTTGTTCGTTGGTTATGAAATTCCCCAATGTTCAGTTGACATCCCGTAATAGTTTTACCGAAATACTTTCGCGTCCGCCCGTGACTCTGCGTCCGAACTCGGCTCCCCAGGAGTAGGCCCAAATAAAAAACAAACCATTTCCTTGTGCTTATTCGTCTGTCCCTATTGAGTCCACACCCCACACCTTCATGCTTATCCGCCCAGCATCAAAGCAGTGTGGCTGCATATCCGTCCACCCCCTTCTCCAGCGCGCGCTCGTTGGGCTGCCATACCGTTTCCTTTCCCGTCATTGGCCGCGCCGAGCGCCCTTGCTCCATACACCGCTCACCTACGTGGCAGCCACCTGCGTCGCTCAGTGTGGCTGCTCGATCATATGTTCGACCCCTTCCCCAGCGTGCGCTCGTCGGGCTGCGGCGCTGTGCCCTTCCCCCATCGCCGGTCGCGCCGCGTGCCCTTGCTCCCTGCGCCGCTCACCTGCATGGCAGCCACCTGCGTCGCTCGGTGTGGTTGCTCATCTATCCGCCCCTTCTCAGCGCGCGCTCGTCGGGCTGCCGCGCCGTGCCCTTCCCCCATCGTTGGTCGCACCGCGCACCCTTGCTCCCTGCGCCGCTCACCTACGTGGCAGCCACCTGCGTCGCTCGGTGTGGCTGCTCATCTATCCGGCCCCTTCCCCAACGTGCACTCGTCGGGCTGCCGTGTCGTGCCCTTCCCCCCATCGTCGGTCACGCCGCGCGCCCTTGCTCCCTGAGCCGCTCACCAGCGTGGTAGTCACTTGTATCGCTCGCTCCCTCACCATTGGCTGCTGGGGCACACGTGTTGTGGTGTCTCAGGTCTTCCTCTGTCGAGCCAAGGGCACCCACGAGCATGGCTGGTGCTGGTGGTGCTCGCGCGCCGTGGCTCGTCGTCAGTTCCCACCCCGATGGTCGGAATTGACTGGCCCGGCCTTCCCTCGCCTATGTTGCACATATATGTTTCAAGTGTTTCAGACGTTTTAGATGTATGTTGCAATTATTTCATCTTGATGTTGCAAAAGTAGACCAAGGGATGTTGCACATGTTCCATATGTTGAAAGTGTTTCGAAGGCATATTGCAAGCGTTTGTTCAAAATGTTTCATCTGTTTTCAGACGTATGTTGCAATCTTTTTTATCTGGATGTTACATATGTTTCCCAAATATATTGTAACAGTATGTTCCAAATGTTTCAGGTGTTTCAGTCTTATATTGTAGCATGTGGTTTCATGTTGCAAGTTATAAATCTGAATGTTTTGTGTGTTTCACATACATGTTCCAAGTGCGTCTTCCAAATATTTTATCTACTTTTTGATGTATGTTGCATTCAAATGTTTTTCATGTTGCAACTGTTTTATGTTGTATGGACGAAGGCGAGTGGACTGGGCGCACGACTCGCGCAGGGACGGCGGATGAGGGTGTTGCGGTCGGGGCGTGCTGGGGCATGCTTGTCCTCAGCTGCTCATCCCGGCTCCTGAGTACTGCCCGCGCGGAGAGAGAGGAAGGGGTCAGGGGCGACTGGTGGGTGCAGAGACGGGTCAAAGTGCACGCTGGGGATATGACAAGGCGGGCGTCCGGACGCTAGCCATGCCCATAGTTTTATTAGGTTTTTGCTATATTTTTTCTTTCTCCCTACCTGAATTTTTGTTTCCTTTCTTACCCAAATTTGTACACTAGAATACTAAAGTTTATATTACAAAATAGGCATGTTTGGATGAGTTAGGACTAATTACTAGTTAGACAAAAAATTAGCTCAAATTAGTTAAGGTTGGCTAGCTACTTGGCCAACGACTAGTTCAAATCTTGGATAAAAAATTAGCTCATCTATTAGCCCTATTGTTTGGATACACTAATGCTAATTTTAGCTTGCTAGCAATTAGCTCTAGTATCAAACACGCCCCAAATATCATTATATTCGTCATGCAATATACTTTCATATCATACATATTTGGTGTCATAAATATTAGCAAATTTCTTTAAAGATTTGGGTGGATTTAAGATAGTTGACTTAGGACAACACCAAAACATAACTTTTTGGGAGGAAGGGTACAAATCTAACAACACACCTTTAATTTGGATGTAGATAGAACTCCTATATAAAACAATTGATTTTTTTTCTTATAATACATTCAGAATTTGGGATGTATGATATATCAAGAAAAGTTTTGGTCCGGGTCAATTCCTTTTTCTTCCATTATCCGATATATAAAATGTATACATACCTGGTAGCCGCCAACGACATGAACGACGACCATCATGTTGGCGAGGGCGATGAGCCACTTGGGTTTCCTGAGGCTGATGAGGACGTTATCATCAACTTGGTTGCCAAACGCCCAGTATCCGACGAGCGAGACCGGGAAGTAGCATGCGGCGACGATGGCGTAGGCGACGACGGCGCCCTTCCACATGGGCTTCTTGGACGGCCTCTCCAGCGTCGACGGGATGGTGGCCTGGATCTCCAGCACCACGTTGTGCCCGGCGTAGGCGAACGCCACGTCCCCGAGCGCGCCGAAGAAGCCGAACACCTTCCCCGGCGTGGTCGTCGCGCGCAAGCCGTAGTGCACGTCCGGTGACTTCCCCTTGTGCGCCGACGCGACCCACGCGATCATCGAGTAGCTGACATGATCGACCATGAGCGTTCACAGTCAGTTTCATATGTATCAGTGATCCTGATATGCAAAGAAGAACGAATAACACGCATGCAGTAGTGGAAGAAATGAACTGTATAGATACCTGAGCGACATGACGGCGGCGGCGAGGGAGACACCGGAGATGGAGTGGAAGCTAGGGAGCTGAGAGAGGACGAAGTGGCAAGAGGCGAAGATCATGATGAAGTAGGTGAGCTTGATGTCGTCCTTGCTCTCGCACTTGCCAATGTCACCACAGACCACGACGTCGTGGAACTTCTTCAGCGACGTGCCGCCGGTGACCATGTAGACGATGTTGACGCCCACCTCCACCACCAGCTGCTGCGGCACGACGATCCAGAGGCCCAGCTTCTCGCCGAACGCGTGCTGCCCGAGCTCGTGGTACCTGTCGAAGCGCTTCCCTGGCACGCACTCGTGCATCTCCACCATCTGCCACAGCGTGTACAGCGTGATGATCCACGACAGGACCAGCACCGTGACGCCAACCGGCCAGCCGAGCTGGGACATGGCGTAGGGAAGGCTGAGCACGCCGGCGCCGACCATGGCGGTGACGTTGTGGAAGGCGGAGTACCACCACTTGGCGTTCCTCCTGGAGCTGATGGGAAGCCAGCCGTCGATCGACTCCTGTCCCGGGCTCCTTCGGCCTTCCTGCAACTGCAAGTCCGGGCGCCCATTGGAATGCAGCAAGAAGTTTGCAAGCTCGGCTAGCTGAGTGTTTGGTTAATCATAACAGACAAGACTGCTAGCTAGTTCGTTTTATCTTCTCTTCTTCCACAAAATTCTGTGATAAGGATATTTATAATTATAACAATAACCAGAGTTTGACATGCCTTCCAGCATTCTACTGAAGATATTTTGACGAATTGAGGGCGCTTTTTCTACAGTGTGTGTAATAAAAGAATGTCACCGACGCCAAGGTACTGAACAAGGAAGACTCTGAACCTGGGAGCGAGCCGGTTCAAGTCGAAGGCAAGAAAGGGGCGCGGAGCCACAGGCCCAACTACAACATCTACGGACCTGACTGGGTGTGAGACGTACTGGCCCATCTTCGTTTTTCGCTTTGTTTACTCGACGGCCCATGTAACGGGTAGGATGCCGAACGGCTCCTATGTAAGTCTTGCTGGCGAAGATGAACGCGAGCTTGAACACGTTATCGAACCGAGCCGGTTGGCGTCGGCGGTGAGCTCCTGGCGGTGGCCGGAGTCTCGAGTTCAAGTAATCCCCGAGCTAGATTGCCTCACAACTATCTAGTCCGGTTACATCTGGTATCAGAGCCGAGATCCTGGCGCCTCAATCCCACCACCACACGCACCTCACCCGGCAATCATCTAGGATGTCGCCTGAGGAACAATTCGGGCAGATTTTGGCCCTACTGAGCGAGAATTCGAAGGGAATATCTGAGCTGAAGTATTCGATGTCTGAGATCCGGTTGGCGAAAGAGGAGATTGAAGCCTGGAAGCCCGAGGTCAATCTCCGCGTCACCGATCTGGAGAAGGCGGTGAACCATCTGGGCGATCGGGTGGAGAAGCTCTTCTCTGACCAGGCCAAGTCACCAGCGACGACGGGAGAAGTCATCAACCCGTCCGCGCACCCCGAGCCCTACTCATCCAAGGGCGGGGCGAGTTTGGTGTCGGGTTCCGCTCATCTGGAACCGTCCCTGTCCGGGGCGACATCAGGGCCAATTGGCCACCGTGAAGAAATTCATCACCGGGGTGCTGGATTTGGGGTGGTTTATACCACCCTGGATCCGCCTCCGGTCACAGGTGCGATGAACCACACTAAATCTTCTTCTGATGTGTTGAATTATGATGGTTCTGTACCTAGTGACTGGCATGCGCGTGCTTTGCTTAGTGCTGCAATGCCCGATTTACCTTTCCCCAAATTTGATGGCACAAACCCTAAGCTCTGGATTAAGAATTGTGAAACCTTCTTCGAAGTTTATCTTGTAGATCCTCGTTTATGGATTCGCTATTCCACTATGCATCTCACTGGTTCTGCAGCTCTGTGGTTCCAGACAGTCCAATCCACCTTGAAAACCATGTCCTGGGCAGACTTTGTCGCTACTGTGAGTGCCAAGTTTGATAGGGACGAGCATAACCAACTCATGAGGCAATTTTTCCATATTCGCCAACTCACAAATGTCCATGAGTACATAGAAAACTTCTGTGATATAGTCCACCAACTCCTGGCTCATGATCCCAATTTTCCCAGTTCTGTTATAACTAATAGGTTTATAGATGGACTTAAAAGAGAGATAAAAGCTGTTATTATGGTTCATAGACCCCAAGACTTGGACTCTGCGAGTTCCTTGGCTTTGTTGCAGGAGGAAGCTCTACTGGATCAATCCAACAGCAGCCACAGAAGGGGAGATGCCAATACGATGTACAAGAGATCTTACTCTGATGGCGCGAGAACCAGTGTAATACCTACTGGCAGTGCACCAAGGTATTCTCCAAGTCCAGGTGAGGATAAGAAGACGCTGGACTCTACCAGAAGCAGGCAAGGAGATGATAAATTGTCTGCTTTGAAGAACTATAGAAAGGCCAAGGGGTTATGTTTTAAATGTGGAGAAAAATGGAGTCCGGGCCACAAATGTCAGACGGTGTCTTTACATGCCATGGAAGAAGTATGGGATTTCCTGACATATGATCAGTCAGAATTGCAAGTACAAGTTGATGAAGAGAATGACTCTGGGGAAGATTTAATGGAAATCTCTGTTCAGGCTATGAAAGGCACAGAAGGTATGAGGACTGTCAGGCTCAGAGGTTTCTTGGATGGACAAGAGGTTTTCATGTTAGTAGACTCTGGGAGTACCAACTGCTTCATCAGTGAAGATTTGGCCTCAAGAATTCAGGGGAAACAAGCCTTATCTAACCCTGTTTTGGTCAAGGTTGCAAATGGAAACCTCTTGGAATGCACTCATGAATTGCCAGAATAGCTGTGGAATATTCAGGGCATTACTTTCAAGAACTCATTCAAAATTATACCACTTGGTTGCTATGATGTGATACTTGGAATGGACTGGCTTGAGAGTATCAGCCCTATGCAGATCCATTGGGCTGAAAAATGGTTATAGTTTGAAAATCAGAGCAGAACAATGAAAATTTTGGGAATTCCACCTGAAACTGTTGTGGGACCCCCCATTTCCAACCATCAACTTGATGCCATGGTGAAACATGATGTGTCGGTGTTTCGGACCGGGGGGTCCTCAACCGACTAGTGAATTTGTTCTGCGTGCTCCCGATTCCGGATGGTGATGCAAAGAGACACAAGGTTTATACTGGTTCGGGCAATCGAGGCCCTACGTCCAGTCTGAGAAATCGATCTTGTATTCCTTGCACCGAGGTGCTCGTAGTAGGGGGTTACAAGCTAAAGGAGAGAGGGAGCTGGTCCCAGGTCTCGGCAGGGTGTCGTGCGGGCCGCTTGAGACGTTGCTCTCAGGCGGCAGGGATGTGTGTGTGTGTTACAAGGTTTTTTCCCGGCCTCCCCTAAGTGGCCCAAGTCCTCTCCTTTTATAGTTGAAGGGAGGACAAGGACCGTACATGTATTACTATGCGGCGTCGTGCCAATAGGGGTGGCACGTCCGAGCCCTGTGGCCTGTCCCTGTGGTGGCGTGGTCGTCGGAGTGGTCCATCCTTGGAGTACTGGGGCGGCGTGGTCGTCCCATCAGATCCTGTGCGTCGTGGGAGCCCCGGGAATGACTCGGAGTGGACGCGGCGGCGAACATGCAAGCCACTATGGACGGACTGTGCGTGAGGCCGAGACTTGGTCGGTGCTGAGGCTGGCACTGCGGTGGGGGGGGTCTCGGTAGGCACGAACCCCCAGATAACCGAGGCCTCGGTGTACAGTGCCGAGGCCTTGAGCGGGCGGCCGATCATGGGTACAGCGTTTGGACACAGTGGTCGGTAATCCCCGTCGTACCCTGTCCCAGCCGGTATGGCGCTGATCGTGGAAAAAGTGGTAGGACACAGTGGCCGGTAATCCCCGTCGTGCCTGCCCCCGGCCGGTATGGCGCTGATCGTGGACACAGTGGTAGGACACAGTGGCCGGTAATCCCTGTCGTGCTCTGTCCCGGCCGGTATGGCGCTGATGCGACCTCGAGTCGCGTCGGCCATCCTGTGGCGTTGAGCCACCGTCCGGCTGAGATTGCGGGAGTGGTTGAAGCATTAATGAGACATGACGAGTTGTCGGGAGGGTCGGCCAAGGCAGGGGGCGATGGGCCGCGGACGAGCCGGCCTCGAGCGACACAGAGAATGAGGCCTCGCGCGAGATGGAGATCAGGTTCCTTGCCGAGGCCTTGCGCGAGACGCCTCGCGCGATACGGAGAATGTACCCCTACCGAGGCCTTCCCTGGAGAGCCTCGGGCGAGACGGAGATGGCGCCCCCTGCCGAGGCCTACCCTGGGGAGCCTCACGTGAGGCGGAGTTTGTCCCGAGACCTCCTGCTCGAGGCTCGAGGCGAGGTGGAGGAGGGCTCGGTCGTGGCAGGTGAGGGGCCCATGGCTTACCTTCTAGCTTTATTTTGATGTTTGCTTGGGGTACCCCGTTCTAAGGTACCCGACAAGAGGCCCCGAGCCTCGGGGTGAGTGCGTGCACTCTCCCCGAGGGTTCGTCGAGGCTGGGTTTATGCCCGCCTCAGAGGAATTGGTTTGTTTTTCGAGGTTCCGGTGGTGTGTGCGAGGCACTCCGGCCGGGTGAAGTCTTCGAGCCCCGGAGGAGTGAAGTTACTCCTCCAGGGGCCTTCTCCATTTTCGTGTTTGAGTGATCAATTCTTATTGCATTTGCCGAGCCCATAAGCGCAAGTTCGGGTTGCGGGGGTCTCGGCGAGGTTGCAAAAAAAAGGCCCTCTAGCCTCCGCATGGAGCGAGAGGTTCGTCAGGGGTCCCCCTGACGTTGGGTATGTCCCTCATGCTTCCTTTCGCTCGGAAGGAGGGGTGGAATGTGCCATGCTACCCTCGATGGGCGCGAG